AGTGTTGAAAGGGTTAAGCACACTGAAAAAGCAATCAGAAACAGAGTTCTGCAGATAAATAAGTCTAGGTTTTTGTTATTAGATTTCTTCAGTACTCTCATTTGTTTACAGGAACCAGGATTTTTTAAACTATGGGATGTCTAAGATAACAGAATTTGCAGAACGGCTGAGCACATTATACTGTAGGAGCACACAAGCACTGTGGATATAGTTTCCCTCGTGTGGTGGGAGAACACAGGAGTCCAGTATGCTGCAAATTCCCACCACATGTACATTAATTTACACTCCAGCTGGAACATCATGACATGTCTGCTTGACTGTTTTTAGACTAGATGTTGACATTATATAAATGTGGCTCATGACCTGTGGTTCAGTGTTACAGTATGAGATAAACCAGGAGTTTTGTGCATCGTTCCCGATGTGTACTCCCATAACTGTCCATCCACGTACCTTTCCAGGCTCCAGTTGACTGTCGGATCATCCATTTTATTCACCAGAACTATCAGGTGCTTGACACCGGCCGTTTTGGCCAACATGGCGTGCTCGCGCGTCTGTCCGCCCTTCTCAAAGCCAGTTTCAAACTCGCCTTTCCTGGCAGAGATCACCTGAGAGACGACACATGAATTCATTATGGGGTGTAGGCTACAGGTGCTGCTCAACATAAAAGCCTCATCAATTGAAACTTTTGTTCATGACTGTATAAACTTTGCAGACACACAAATAAAAAAATAATAAAACTCAGTGTGTCCCGACCCTGTATGATAGCTAATAGGTTCCAAACAAAACAATCTCAACTCATATCTTTTGTTTTTAACTGAACTAACATCGCAAGAGCAGGGATTGATAAAGTAAAAGTTGAGTTGTCATCGTTGCTTTTTGGGTGGACATGGTGTGTAATGAAGACACTGTTTCCAGGTTCCTTCAAATCTATCATTTACCTGTGTTTCATTTTAATAGTAACTTGCAAACAGCCTTACTTTAAGGCACTGTGTGTGTGACGATTTTAATTCCTGAAGCTTTTTAGTTTAAGACTAATGGGTAGAAAAAATGTCTGCCAGTTAAGTTTTTTGTACCTCAACAGCATGACTCACCAGAACAGCCAAGTCTGCTTGTGATGCCCCTCCGATCATGTTGGGCACGAAGCTTTTGTGACCTGGAGCATCTAGGATGGTAAAGTGCTTTTTGTCTGTCTCAAAGTACGCTCGGCCCACCTCTACCGTCTTGCCTTTGTCCCTCTCCTCCTGGTTGGTGTCCAAAGCCCAGGACAGATACCTGAAAACAGAAACAAATGGGATATTGTTGACTTGGACACTTGCGGTTTCTACAGTTTGGTTCGTACACCAACACAGACATCTACGTTATGATCTGAGCTCATATTAGCCACATGTGGCTCCTGATCATGTTAACAAAATCATAATAAAAAACACGCCTATAATGTCAGAAATCACACATCAGAATTCAGATTAAAACACAACAATCCAGTTAGATCCAGAGACAACAATGTGTCCACTCACCAGGTTTCTCGGTTCTTTTCCTTGGCTTCTCTCTCGTACTTTTCTAAAGTCCTCTTGTCTACCATTCCTGTTAGATACCTATTGGAGGGAAATGCAGAGCAATGCACCACACGTCAATGGCCTGAAGTGACAACCTCACGTATTGTAACCAAAAGCAAAGAGAGAGAACGAGGAAACGGAGCCTGCTACTTACATGATTTGTCCGCCAATGGTGGACTTGCCGGCATCTGGAAAAGCAGCGAAAGGTTTGGATTAAACAAAACTTAAAACTCACTACTTAAGCTTTATCATGGAAGGCGGTTTCTCAAGTCTTAGGGAGGGCAGCCAGAAAAAAAAACAAACATTGAGTGTAAAAATAGTGTCAAATGCATAATGTGGTGTCACCAAAGTTCTACCTTTATCTCAACAAGTCAATGACAAGTATCAGCAGGTTGACTACAGCCCAGTAGTCACTGAATGCAATAGAGTTCTATGTGTGCAGCGTAAGATACTAACAACTTAACAGTCTATCACTTTTCAGACATAGGATACATCATGCTGCTGGCTTCATCAATCTGTTAAAGTGGCAGCATTCTGTCATTCAGACTTTCACTCAGGCCTTGTCCACACGTAGCAGGTACCCCACAAAACAAAGATATTTTTCTACGTTTTCTGTCATCCACACGAAAACGCAGATTTACGGCATTAAGAACAATTCTTTCAAAAACCTCCGACCAAAGTGAAGATCTGTGAATCCTCCGTTTATGCGTCTGCATGTGGACGTCAATAATCGGGGTTTTAGGTTTTGAAACGTCACCGCCTGCGACAAAATATGTTCTTTACATCACATATGCGACCTGTGTTTACATTTGGAAACAGCGTGGACGCCCTCAGAACTGTGTCAAAACTTGTCCAGGCCCAGATCCCGCTCCACGTACAAGAACACACCATCCACGTCCGAGGCATGTTCTCCGTCAAAGACACCGACGCCGGTTTTGGGTCAGACCGGGACGCACTGCCAGCTGGTGGGAGAACTTTGAGACGGAAGTCGTGCTCCAAGAGGAATGGAGTGACAATTTCCGTAGGTCCCGGTCGTCGGAGTTATTACATCCTCACATAGAATATGAATGTGCTTAACAACGCAGTTATGCGGTTAGGTGTGGATGAATTCTTTTCTAAAAACAAGGTGGTGTGTACGTTAGTTTTTTAGTCTAGATGGAGGGGGCAGGACATCTGCTTTTACAAAAACCCTGCTACGTGTGGACAAGGCCATAGACTTTCCCAACTTATGCTCACTCATCTATGCCCATGACAGTAGCCGTGTTTCCAAAATGTACTTTCATGAGTTTTAATAGAAGAGGCTAACCATAAAACACGAACAGTAACAGATAACGTGAGAACAATTCCTGAAGACTGCTCTCCATTTGTCTTGCATAGATGTCTAAAGACTATTTTTTTCCTCTTTTTGGTGATTTTATAGCAGTTGGCAACAGCAGCAGTTGGAACTCTGTTTTTAAATCTTTGCTGATAACTTCAGTCAAAGTTGTAATATTAAACGTGCACGGTGCACTATTATGCATCGAAGGATGTCATAAGAACACTTTGGTAACAAGTTAAGGGCAAAATCCTAAAAACATGACGACTTGTCTGACATCAACTGTCCTAAATGTGGTAAAAAAACACACTAAGTCATGTATGGAGACATTTAACATTCAAGTCGATGATCAGGAACAAGTTACAGACGACCCAAGGCCCGAATACAAACAGTGGCTATCATTGTGATAACTAGGAAGGGTAATGATTAACTGTCAGTCGATTAATAGCAGTTATTAATTAAATCGATGTGCTGTAGGTTTGCTATAGTACCTTGCTGCACCATTAGATGGAGCGTCTAACTGTGCAGCTGAGTTACAGGTGTGTTTACTGACCACCTGTACGGCTGACATAAGACAAGCTCACTTCCTGTTGTGTAACTGCTAACGGCGGTTGTCCTGTTAATGAACTCTGCAGCATCGCGTTGACAGAAAAGTGTCTGGTGGCTGTCCAGTTTAGCTAACGACGTGAGGCTCACGCTGACGCTAAACGAGGATTTTCAAGCAGCCAGGAAGTGAGTGTCTGTCAGCAGAGAGCAGCTGTGGCTGCCGAAGCTGCCAACGTTCAGGAGCAGCAGGACTCTGACGACATGCTTCCAACAGCCTTAAAACTAAAGTAATGAAGTGTGTCTGCTCCAAATACAAATACATTTTAGATGTGGCGGTAAATACTGACAGACTTTCTGGACTGATAAAGTTTCCGTGGCAGTATCTGCAGACATCTGGTAAAGCTGAGCAGATGTTTCCAGCAGCTGTACTAATGTTAGCTACAGTCAACACGTCACTCCAGCGTGTAGATCAGGTGTCGGGATTATTTCGAAAACTGGTGTGACGACTTCAATAATGTTACAGGTTTTTTACTGTGGAAGACTTGCTGTGCAGTACTTATTTGTAATTGAGTAACCTGGTGTTTACTATATCTGGTCTTCACATTCCCAATGTCATCAAGGTGATCATTCTTTGTCTGCCTCTGATCTAATCTACAGTCGAAGGTACATAATCACACATATAAGCAGCAGGATAACGTTACACATCAATATTTAAAGTTCCTCTACAGCTTTGGCCACTTCACAGATGAAAACAAATGTAAACTTCTGACGCGTGTATGTATGAAAGCCTCCTGTTTTTTATTCCACTCACCTCTATGTGTGCAAAGACAAAAGAAATCTGTCATTGATTTTAAGGATATACGATCAAACCAGTGCACTTTCCCCCTATAGCAGAAACATACTGAGGTCCAGCCAGACCATTATGTATTACATAAAGACCTAGAAGGACTAGAATATTAATGGTACTCCTACTCTACCGATACTGCTCCGGTATTTTAATGGTACTCTTATCACTTCTCTCTGAATTAAAAACAGAGTTGCTTTACTTTTGCTCTCTACTTTTTTTAAATGTAATTTTTAATGATGCTATAACCATTTCAGATTGCATTTATAAATACACCCATAGTTAATTGATCAGCTAGTTAATGGGTACTTCTAATCATTGACCAATGTTTGTATAATTTTCCGGCAACAAGCGCCGTCAGCACCGACTCTGGTACACAACTGAAATAACACAACCGGCGTTTGGACCTACCTACGTGTCCGATGAACACCACGTTGATGTGTTCCTTCTTGGGGGCGTCGGGTTGTACAGGTGGAACTTTGGGCACTGGCATTTCTTCCTCCTCCTCCATCATCTCAGAAGCCGTCTCCTCCATAGCTGCAGCCACCACTGGTCCCCGGTCCCCGCAAGACCCGCCTCCTGGCTCCTCCTCGCTTGGTTCTGCCTCTTTCTGGTCCCACGGCTCCTCTGTGGTCATCTCTGTGTCGCCGTTCTCCACGGGAACTGCACAAACGCAGCACAAGTCTTTTAGTCCTTCTGTTATGTTTACGTTTTGATCACTGAACACAGTTAGCGGCGTTTCTTTTGAGCGTAAAAACTCATCATATCAATATATTTGCTGGTTATGTTCAATTATCTCTTACTGGAAACATTTTCTAAGTTGTCTGTCACAGATGAGCTTATTTATTGTAAAGTGGACAGTTCATTCATTCATTGTCTTGTTGCATAAGGTAAAAAAAAGAAGGTAACAACAGCATCTGCCCTGTCACCTTCTCATGTAATTGAAAGCCACAAAACCAGCGGTATGTACATCAATCATCCACAACATTAAAACCACTGACAGGTGAAGTAAAAGACACCGATCACACCATTACTACGCGTTTGTACTGCTGGGACACCATTGGTCCTGGCATGAGTGTTATTCTGACACCACGACCTACATGACCCGTGTCAACGTCCTGAACACCACAGGACACCCCCAGAGGTCCAGTGTCAATGGCCCGATGGGTCAGAGCTGTTTTGGCAGCACAAGGGCGATGGTTCTAATGTTGTGGCTCAGGGGATCAGTGTATACCAACACAACAAGACCAAAAGCTGAGCACGGACCTGGTGGTTTGAAAAGCTTTTGAGGAAGGTGTTCGGTTAGAATTCGGGTTGGGTTAATATCTGCAAAAACAGAAATGGCTGCAAATCAATTTGCACTCTAGTTGACTGCTCAGTTGGTCGTAGCTAAAATCTCTGTCAGTTACATTTTTCTTATGTCTGGATTATGTTAGTTTGAAAACAGTAAAAGTTCACACAGGGTTGTGTGTTATTGAACTTGTTAAGGTGTATCTATACATTTTGAAACGAGACAATAGCGTTTAAATCAATACACTTTGATGTTGCAGTACAGAACTCCCACTCTCCATCTGCATGTGCGCACAAACCCAGCACCACTCCAGTGTTCTCCTGCAGCATGGAGGCGGAGGATCAGCAATAAATAATATCTCCAAGTTTGAAGGTAATTTTAAGTGCGCAGGTGCCAGCGGTTGATGAGGTTTGCTGACTTGTGGAAACGACGCACGGAGACAGAGCTGTAGCGTCAACACACTGGGACACCGAATAGCCAAAAGCACTGAAGCCATGTTAGCCATCGACGGCTAAAACCTGGTCGGGGCGGTTACTGTTGGAATTTTCTCCGCATTCACTTACGAGTGCTGGAAGTGGTTAAAGTGGATGTTTAAAGAGAAAAAGTGAAAGGATGAAAGGATAAAGTGAAGGATGAGAAACAGATTACAGACACAGTGAAATGACTGTTATTGGTAGATGGTCTGCACTGATAGAGCGCTTTAAACCAAAGTGCTTTATCATGTTTTCTCACATACATTCATACACCAGTGGCGACAGAGCGGCCATTGGGAGCAACTTCGGGTTCTTGCCCAAGGACACTTCGACTGTAGTGGGGCGGGGGGTCGAACTGCCAACCTTGTGATTGGAGGACAACCCGCTCTACCACTTGAGCCACAGCTGCATGTAAAACGATCTCTAGGAGTTTCCTGAAAATTGTAGCGGATCCTGAGACACAAACTGACTGCTATAAATATATGAAACAATTTTTTTGTACTTATTTTGATCACTGTTTGTTTTAATAAACATGCTTGCGACACTGTTTATGTGGCTTTGACTAAATGTCGAGCCCACTAAGTAGAAAATGCGCAGCTATGCCATGGATTCAGCCTAAAAATATGTCCAAAATGCCCAGCCTTACCGTCACGCGGCCATTACATGGGTAGCGTACAGCGACAGCAACCACAGCATGCGATGGTTTTAAAAACAGTGCCACAAAAAGCATAAACACTCATTGGGCTTCAGAGAAAAGCCACCACAGCACCGTGATACCGTTTGATATGATGTTAACAGACCAGCAATGAACACTAAAGGAGGAGACAAAACGTGAAACCATGACAGTGTTCTGACACATCAGATCCTGGTCCAGTGTCAATTAGAGGTCCTCACAGATCATTTAAAGTCGTTAAAAAAGAAAATAAACAAATGTCAACTATTTTTCCATGAGGACACAACTTCAGTGAATCTGGATGCACTTGCCAGCAACCTTCTCCTGCCTTGTGTTTATCTAGTAAACGTAATCTCTTCATATTTGGAAAACATTACACACTGCTCGCATGTTTCCAGAGGAATGCCTTTGACTCAAAGAGGTGTGTGCCAAGTATTCACCATCAGCACGTCACTATCCACGACAAGTATTCATGAAATTTAGCGTTTCGGTGCTTGTTCACTGGATCTCTTATACCTGTTCTGTTCTCTATTTATTATATTTATACATATATAAAAAGTCTAAATGACCTGATGGGTTTCTTGTTAATAATCATGACCGCTGTTGTGCATATTCAGGGGGGAAAACTGCTCTGGTCACTGTGGCAAGGCTCTAGTCAACCATTGTAATCAATGCAGATGTTGCATTGTTTGTAAATTCTTCTTTACTCTGTAACAAAAGTCTGTTTGTTTCAGAATAATATATCATTATGTAAAATGCTAGCTAACAGTAGGTGAGTGTCAGCATGGTGGCTCAGTATAGGCGTCTGAATTAAACTGCTGCACTATCAAATAAATGTTTAGCTAAAAGCCACAAGAACCTTCATGTATTGCTGACTATTCACTTCAACTCACATCTTGTTGGTGTCTATCCCCGGGAGCACGGCGGTAACATTAGCATTACTGATTCAAGTGAAAATGTTTACGAAGCGCTTTACAACCTGCCACGTTTGAAAGAGACTGTACAGGACCGGAGACGTGTACGACAGCTAGCGAGGTCCTGGGACAGCGAGGGAGCGGATAACACTGATTTTACTGGAAGAACAAGTAGCTCCACCGACTACATCAACAACGAGCGACTCCAGACCATGAAGGGATGTAAGACATGTCCCAAGCAGCCAGCAATCATATGGCGTAGTATATACACACCTCTCCTGTAGAAACACGCTGCGTTTATAAACAGGAAATGTGCAGAAAATTCTAACAAGTACACACGTCGTATAATATTCTTCTTCTGTTCTAGCAAATGCACGCCATCGCCTCTCAACACTGGACACTATCCATCTCTAACAGAACCGCTGAGAAACCTTTGCATTAACAACCGTGTACAGATTTAAAGATTTGAGGAAGGTTGTATTTACTTTGAATAGTTAAATGGCCATATTTGCTCTGAACTAACAACTCGGTGTCTGCCGCAGAAACCCGCCTGTCGTGTTCACAGTCAAGACGTTTTACGGCTCTGACAACTATCGTGGACATCAGCTGTTGACATCCAACTGCATTGTGCTGCTTCCTTTTTTTTTTTTCTCTAACAATGTGATACTGTACACGTGTAAAACAAATACTAAAGCCATTTAAAGCTTCCTTGTACAGGCAGAGTGACCCAATAACAATGTTTGTAGAGCAGCTTTGTGAATGGTGGGGCTTGTTATGTAGTATTTCTAACTGTTAATTACATATAATGCAGCTGCATACTACTACATGCAAGATATCTCACTGCGAGAGTGCTAAAGAATCCCCACCAAAACACCAAGAAAAGTTCCTTGTATGTGTAAACTTACTTGGCAAGAAAGGACACTGCTGATTTGGATATCACTAGTTTACAACTCAACTGATACTGAATGGTGGTTTCACAGCAGGCCATCACTAAAGATGTCCCTCTTCATTATGTGGCCTTATCTCCCACAGTCACGGGCGTTTAACATGATAATGACACACAGTCACCTTGTGGCTGATGTAGATGCATAAAATCAGCACTGCTGGAAGGCTGCAGACTGGGGAGGACTACGGGGGGCTGAACTCCTGCGACTGGGTCTCCGTAACTCACCACAGGCTTTGTTAATCCTGTGGGCTCAGTGCGAGTCTGCACATATCAGAACAATGAGGCGAGCAGAATGTATGTGACACACGGCAGAGGTGACTGGGCTGGATTCATACATACCAGTGGTGTCTGACACCTCCACGGTGGATATTTTTTCAACAGCAACTGAAAAAGAAGCAGCGATCAAGGTGGTGCTGAAGTTAATTTAACTTGAGTCAGCCTGTTCCACTAACTCCTGGTCAAAGAACAGTACTGAACTGGACAGATATTTCACTTTGTGTGCCATAAGCAGCTTCCAGTGTTGCCTTCAGAGGCCTTTCTCAAGCCAAGGCCAGAAGCTGTTCCTTGTCTTGGAGTTCTCAATAGTTTCTCATGTCAAGCATCTCCCTACTCATTTGGTATTATTGTCCAGTGGAAGGACTTGAAACCACTGGCACAGTATAAGTCAAGCAGCTCAAGTTCTCGCAGATAGAAAGACGTGCTAATGTAAAATAAACATGGTTTCCCGGTGACACAACTTGCTGACCCGCTGAGCGTCGAAACCATCCGTGTCACAGCAAACACTCACGTTTCCACTCATTTCTTTCCACTGGCGACTTTAGCTTCCGCGGTCATGTGAAGTTGAACTGTTACACAATGACAACAGGGAATGTGTGCCAGAACCTCTACCTTGGCTCAATTTACTTTTTTTTTTTTTAAAGAGTGAGCAATTACTTCGTTATACCGCATCACTTAAGTCAAGCACCGAGAGACACCGGCGCTCAACTGTGAAACCACACCAGCTAACGGACATGCTAGCTAGCTACCACCGGGAACAAGCTAATGCCGGTTGAGTTGAGGACTTTTCAGACATTTTCGACAGCGCTCAACAAGTCGTAAAAGCGGTGTGTTGTCGAATGTCAAAGCAGCATGAAAAAGACAGACGTGTCGCATACAGAGGCACGCCGACAAAATCACTAACAGCCCCAAAAAACAGCACGGCGGCTAGCTAGTTTGTCGCGCTTCAAGGAACGCGTGTCAGTGCAGCGGCTAGTGAGCTAGCAGCCACCCAGCCCAGGCTACTGTGGGCTGCTAGCTAGCGTAGCTTCCCCAACGTGACAGTGAACTCACCAGCGGAATCGAGATTTTCCGAGGGCGCTTTCATGGCAAAAGACGGAACAAACTCAGCGGCGTTTACGTTGGGCACAAACGGTTTAGCGTTCACGTTGAGGGTTGTGAATGCCGGCTCAAGTTGTCCGTCGATTGTGGCCTCCACATCGTCCTCTTGTTCCCAGGAATCAGGGGCAGTATCTCTCGGGTCCATCGTGGCTCTTGGATTTTCACTAGTGTCAAATCTGAGCTACGCAGTTCTTGGTCCACGCAGGTTTCCGACCAAAACCTGACGTTAAAGTCGCCACTTGGAGCGATCGAGAGCGTCCCAACTCGAAGTGTGATGTTTTCTCGCCGACCCAGGTGAAACACGGCAGCCGGTCTCTCTCGGTCCAGACGCTCAGAGGATATTCGACTCAGCACTCCCAGAGACAGTCCGCGTGAGCTAATGCGTCCGTCGGTCGACGTGCTACCCGCGGTGGCTCCTGGGAAACGGAGTCTTTTCCGAAACCGGAAGACGTTTGCTTCAGAAGAATTTTGAAGGTGGGGAAACGACATCCCCCAAACACCACGGAGAGACGGTTTACGTCAGTAGACTTTTTTCCTGACGTTTTTTAAAACCGCAGATTCGACTCATTTTTTGTTTGAAGTAAATGTCGATTTTTAAAAATATATATATAGATCTTGTGAATCCAACCCAATTCACTCACTAACGTAAATTGTACGTATTTTTAGTTTCAATGAGTCATTATACTCAAGTACAGCTGAAACTATTACATAAACTTTCATGTAAAAGTTTTTGGCCCTCTGGATAAATATATAATTTGTTCATTTCTCAAGTGAAAAGAAGTGAATAGGAATGGTCACAGCCACTGTAATGTGATCTATGGGTTTGTGGACTACTATTTTAAATCTCTGAGTTTGGAAAGTGGTTGTTACCATGTTGGTTTTTTTGAAACAAGGCGTAACAAGCAAGTAGTGGATCTCATTGCACAACCTAAGTACTCCTCTTAAACATACCCTGCTGTATTGTCTATTTTTACTGTAAATGAGGCCATAATTTACAAAATAAACATCATGCTGTATTGAAGGAGCCTTGAAATTAGCATTTGAGACCATAAACTCATTGGGAAAATGTTTACTGAGGTTACAAAACAAATGCAAAATATTCATTTTCTCATAGACATCCATATAATCGGAAAACCAAGAGTTGCCCCCTGCTGGCTGTTAGAAAGAATGCAGGTTTGGGCCACATCTGGATTGCTTCACCTTTCGGCCCATCTTTTCTTTACATCTCAGGATTTGCAATTGAAGCTAACGGATGCCTACAAGTCAGAGAAAGGCTATATTGAGACATCAAAGTGCTCCCAGATTGCTGAGCAGAAAGGCAACGCAAACCCGCCATATGACTGCAGAGGAGTTGCAGGAAGTCTCAGCTGACACAGGGGTGGTGATGCACTGTTCCACTTTGCAGCTCTGACACCCAAACAGGTGTCGACACGAAAGAGTCATCGGAAGGAAACTTTACCATCCACCTCATCAGAAACGTCAAAGTCTGATAAGCAGGGGCTGAATCACCCAGAGACAAGTGAGTTCTTTGGTGACATTCACCAAAGTTACGACCTTGCATGACTCAGTGTGCATGTAAGACAGCCTAAATATCTCGAGTCATGTGCAGGATGAGTGGCTG